GGAGGAAGTCGACGAGTGCGCTTTCCTATTTGGAGGAAAGCGTGGTGCCGATGTGCACCACTTTGCCCTTGGAGCTGCTGGGGTCTATGAGGACCTCCTTGGCGCCCTCCATGGGCTCAAAAGACCCGGGCGATCGCTTGGGGTCGGGTGCTTCTTCGATGATCTCCTCCCTGATGGCTGCGAGCTCTTTGGAGGCGACAATCGCCATGGCATGTTCGCAGCACTTGACCTCGCACTCATAGGCGCGCTGGAATGAGGTGCCGATGGTGATGACCCTATGCGGACCCGGCATCTTCAACTTCATATAGGTGTAATTGGGGACAACCATGAACTTTGCGTAGCATGGATGTCCCAAGATGGTGTGGTAGGTCTCGTGGAACCCGACCACCTCAAAGGTAAGGGTCTCCGTCCTGTAATTTGTTGGATTCCCGAAGGTGACGGGCAGATCGATCTGCCCGAGCAGCATGGAATGCTTTCTAGGCACGATGCCGTGGAAAGGCACCCCAGTTGGTCAGATGCGCGATCGGTTGATGCCCATGGCGTCGAGCGTCTCAGCGTACATGATGTTAAGGCCTCTGCCTCCATCCATCAGCACCTTGGTGAGCCGCTTTTTGCCAACGATCGGGTCGACCACGAGCGGGTATCTTCCCGGCTACGGGACGCTTTCTGGGTGGTTGGTCCAATCAAAGGTGATGGTGGACTATGACCATCGGAGAAAGGAAGGCATGGTCGGCTCGACTGTATAGACCTTGTGGCGCGCAAGCTTCTAGCGGTGCTTGGAGTCGTAGGCCGCCGACCCCTCGAAGATCATGAGGCAGCCATCCGGCATCAGAAAGCCATCGTCCTTCACCTCAACATTGTCTACCGTTGGCTTGGGGTCCTTCCTATGCTCCCCTTGTTGGAGACACCAGATAGGAACCACTTTATGAGGACGACAGTCTTTGTATAGGTGCTTGATGGAGAAGGCATGGTTCGGGCATGGCCCTTCGAGCAGCTTCTCGAAGTGGTCTGGGATACCCTCGATGGGCTTTCGACCCCCTTGCGGTCGGCAGTGGCCACGAGCGAGCCCTCACGCCGCTGCTTGTTCTTCTTCTTGTTGGGGCAGTAGGAGGCACCTTCTCCTCGTTCCGCTTCGCCTTGCCCTTAGGGCGATCGAAAATCGCTCTGACCGCCTGCTCGCCCGAGGCATGGCTGGTGGCTATGTCGAGGAGCTCCTTGGTGGTTCACAAGCCCTTGCGTCCAAGCTTGTGAACTACCGGGAGAAGCGCCAGACGTACTACCGGGACGTATAGGATGGCTCCTATAACATCGGACTCATAGGTGGTCCCGTATAGGATGGCTCCTATAATGTCAGTGTCGGTGACGTCGGGCAGCTCATTGCACTACTAGGAGAAGCGCCAGATGTACTCACGAAGAGTTTCCCCAGACTTTTGTCGGTAGTTTTTGAGATCCCATGGGTTTCCAGGACACGTGTAGGTGCCCTAGAAGTTTCCCATGAAAATCTCCTTCAAGTCCGCCCAACTCTGAATCCTGTTGGGCGGAAGGTGCTCCAACCATGTTCACGCTGAATCGGCCAGGAATAATGGGAGGTTGCAGATAATGAAACTATCACTATCCGCTCTACCGGCATGGCAAGCAAGCCGGTAATCCTCGAGCCATAGTCTGGGGTTTGTTTCCCCAGAGTATTTCGAGATGTTGGTCGACGGTCGGTACCATGGTGGGAAGGCAGCGTTGAGGCTATGTCGATCGAAGGCCTAAGGTCCTGACAAGTCGGGGCTTAGGCTCCAATCCTCGCCACTGTCATAGCGTCCGCTGTGATGAGGGTGATAGCCACGGCCGGCTTCCTCTCTCTCGCCGCTTTGTCCACGCCTACGGGCATCCAGGGTGTTACATCTCATGCACCAGGGCCGCGGTGCGCCCCCCGTCGGCACGCAACACCTGGTGGACAGACACGTCCCTGACATGTCGTCCTGAGGGCACGTGCTAACTGGCGTCAAGCTTGCGTCGCCAAGACAGTGAGCTCTCCGCATGCTACACTGCCGCACGTTTGAGCAGCATACGGATCTCGCGATAGGCCCGACGATCCTCGGGTGTCGCGGGCTCCGGAAGCCCTCGGAGAAAGGCAGCCTGGTAGTGATGTTCTGGCCTGCTCGGGCAAAGTGTGGGAGGGCTCCATCATCCTTGATGATCCTATGGTTCACGTCGCGGGCCATGGCGCGCGCACGCCCAACGTCTCCGCGGCACTCGATCTCTTGCTCGAGCTCCTCGTGCTCCTACTCTAGCTGGAGTCACGCATCCTCGAGTTCCCTGTGCCGCGCCCTCAGATGCTCCAACCGTAGGTGAGGTGGGGCCCCTGCATCTCCCTCGACCTCATCGTCAATGTCCCTTGGGGTGCCTACCATAAAACATTCTCGCGAGGGGTGATGGCTCCCCCTGCTGGAGTCAGAGTTGGAGGGCGACTCTAAACTTCTGCGAGGAGGTCGTGGAAAGATTCTGCGATGTATTCGGTCATCTCCATGAACTCGTCATTCATAGGGATGGGTGCATGCGCTACGCCACGAGGTGGCCAACTGTCTCTGGGGCATTGCACAGATCGAATGGGAATGTTGTCGGGGCGCTCCGGATGAGGTATTCTGGAGAGAGCGGTTCCCACCGGCAAGCTATGTCATGACGTTGGTGAACGAGAAGGTGAGGCAGCACAGGTCCTCCTAGGACGATCGGGGTCCCAGGAAGGCATTGAGTTGGCACTCTAGCCTCCCGTAATCGAAGTCGAGGAGCTAGTTGCTCCCGGGGGCACGGGCCTCCGGCACGTGCAGCTATAGCTCCTCAAGCGCCTCGATGATCGCATCGAGGCCGACGGAGTAGAGAGGCTGGACGGTGGTGGAAGCCTGCGCCAACTCTCCCTCCGTCGTGACAACGAAATCTAGGTTCTTGAAGTGCACGTGCGCGCCCGGGACTCAGCTGACGCCTCGACTAGCCATCCAAGGCCTGATGTGGACGTCGAGACGCGCAAAAAGTCCCTACCTGGCGCGCCAACTGTCGGTGTTTCGGATCACCGGCTAGTAAATTTGTATCTGCGCGTCTGGCACGGATGGTGTGCTCGGAGGACACAAGGATTTATACTGGTTCGGGCGGAATGTCCCTACGTCCAGTATGCTGCTGCTAGTGTTACTGGCACTAGTTTATAGTAGGGGTTACAGACGGGCGAGAGAGGGAGTGGATCCTAGGTCTCTGGTGGAAGGATTGAAGAGTGCTGAGAGTTTGTTCGGCTGTGTGCTCGTTGCCCTTTTTGGGGCGTCCTGCTTCCTCTTTTATAGGTGAAGGGGAAGGCGCAGGTTACAGAGAGAGAAAAGGAGAAAAGCGAGGGAGAAGAAGGCCTCCGGGGCCGCCGCGTCCTTCTTCTCCTTCATGTGGGTCCCACCGACGCTGTAGATGGTGACGGGGACGGCTCCACATTAGGCTCCTATTCACCACTGGTGCCATGCCCTAACGTCATTAGCTGGTCGTGGCATCCCATCCTGTCTCGGCAGATGGCGTGGTGAACCGACGTGCCTGTCAGCGGCCGTACGGGAAGTAGGCAGCACAGCGACCACGCACCCGTCACTGTTGGCGATGTGAACCCCCGAGCGTGGCCTAACGTGGCCATGGGTCACGTCGAGACATGCCCGCTTCCCTCCCGGTGTCAGAAGTTTGACCCCGGGGTCGTACCCTTAGACCCGTGGTGGTTGGAGGCCGTACGGGTTCCCGTCGGGTGAGACGGAGCTCACGCCGCAGGGGTCGGGCGAGACGGAGCCCGTGCCCTCAGGGTCGGGCGAGACGGCTCCCGTACCCTTGGGGTCGGACGACATAGGGCCCGTGCCCAAGGGGTCGGACGAGACGGAGCCCATGCCCTCAGGGTCGGGCGAGATGGCTCCCGCACCCTCGGGGTCGGGTGACATAGGCCCGTGACCTCAAGGTCGGGCGAGACAGAGACCATCCCTTCGGGGTCGGTTGAGACTGAAACACGTTCTTGTTTATCTAGGCGAGTCATCGTCCGCGGTCCTCATATCCTCTCTTCGGGCATCCCTAATATTGATACCCAATAGAAGGGGTCGGGGATGACCCCGGCCTTGGCGCCTTGCCCGCTCCGATCGGCTTTCACTGGGTCTCGGTCGTTCGGGCCTTTGTTAGTTATTGTGTTGTGGGCCACGAGGCCTGCTAATTAATCGGTGCCTTGAGATACCCCGGGGTTACAACCCGACACATAGAGTATTAATATAATTTAAAATATGAATTTTCAGTGGCATTGATATGTGGTTTGTAAGGGACCAATTTTCTTCTATTGCTAAATTATGAGAATAAATATTTATCCCATGTAAGCATATTTACTCGATCTATATGCTGGCACATAGCTTGCATGGTTCTTTTGAATTGAATAGTGGGAAAAATTAAAACAGGTTATATACAAACTTGCTATTCCATAGCATGTAGATAAAATTTGTGTCCACTATCATGATCGGCGCAAACCAAAAGCGGCGATCCAATAAATTCCAAGAGATCAACACGTGTTTGCATACGGATGTGGCGAAACGCGTCTGTTGTTGAACCTACGCTAGATAGGCGGTGAAAAGTGAACCTGCCACCTGAACAGGGCACTCTTGCAATGGCACAGCTCTCTCAACAGCTTCGCGAGCTCAAAAACAAGTTTACAGGTGGAGCTCTTTTTCCGTGCTCTCACAAGGGAATGTGACGGGAGCAGGGATGAAAACGGATACGAAATGGACGGATATCACTGATATCAGCGACGAAGCCAGAAAAAAATTTAGGTCGGGCTGAACAAAAGTCTACGGCGATTTATCTCTACTATGGCCCCACACAATAGACATATATATAATAGCTTGAATTAATATTATATTGAAAACGTCGACCAACGACGAAATTCACAAAATACAGCATGAAAAAAAGATGAAGTTCATTCATACCGAAAGGACTAATTGTGAAACTAATAAATCCCCCCCACATTATTCCTCCGAAGTAGTAACCTACACAAAATAGACATAATCGATTAGTCATACATATATTGATATATAGACCTCCAAATTCTAAATTTAGAAGAGAATAGAGCGTACCACTACCTTTTTAGGCAATAACATACGTCGCTTTTTCATCTCTTGAAATCGTTTTTTGATCTTTTCATTATCAATCTTTCTAAATATCTCCTTCTCAGTATAACATATCATCAAATCATTGAGCCATTCATCACCCATTTTATTGCGCAAATCTGTCTTTATAATGTTCAAGGCTGAAAATATCCTCTCAACTGAAGCTGTTGCCACTGGTAGTATTAAGATTAGCTCAATGAGACGATAAACCAATTTATAAGATATGTGCATTTTAGTCTTGACCATAATTTCAGCAACTTTTCCAAGCTCAGTGCATCCAAGAAAGTCTAGAGTTCTTCTAGCACGGTTGACAAATTGTGTAAGATGATTTGGCAAAACAGCAAGTTCACCAATATCAAAATCATCGGCATAAATTTCAGCAAGCCTCACAAGTTTCTTCACATCAAAATTAGAGGAGTCCCTTGGGTTAAAAGCAGCCATGCATACTAATAATTCTGAACTAGTTTCACTGAACCGATGATTCATCTCAGTCAAGAGGGCATCAATGGCGACCAGAAAAAGCTCAACATGATAGTAATGCATATTTGTTACCTTTTGCTTCCTTCTTCTAGGTGTCCCTCTAACATTTATTTCCTTATCCATATCTGGCACTTCAATCTCATTCTTCTCACAGAATGTTATCACTCTTTTGAGTAATGGCTCCCATCCATTTTCCCTCATATCCTGCAAGCTATCTTTTACATCTGAGATCAAATGCATTGCTTCAACTATTTCTTGATCCTTCATTTGCAAAGCTTGTGATAAAATATCTGTCATGCTCAACAATTGTATCATCAAATGCAGGATGAACACAAAATCAAAGCTCTCCATTTTTTCAATTAAACCTAAAGCTCCACCATTATTTCTTGGTTTCATAGAATCTTTTTTCACTATCTCAAGCACATCTATGATAGCCTCCCACATCACCAAAATGCGAAGCAAAGTTTTAAGATGTGAACCCCATCTTGTATCTCCTGGCCTAGCTAGGCTACTTTCTTGATTTAAACCTTTTCCAGTCATAATCTCACCCTTCTCAATCTTTTCTAGCAACACATCCTGATGCTTTGCAAGCAAGGCATCTTTTCTCATACAAGATGCACCTACATTGCTGACTATTAAAGGAACATAGTTAAAGAAATCTGTAATGTCTGCACTAGAAGTGGAAACAGCAACAACCACTAATTGTAATTGATGGGCAAAACAATGCACATAGAAAGCATAAGGATTTTCATCACGAATCAATTTCTGCACCCCATTAAATTCACCTCTCATATTAGAAGCTCCATCATACCCTTGCCCACGAAGCATAGAGATAGACAAATTGTGACTTGAAAGCATATCAACCAAAGCTTCTTTCAATGCAATAGCTGTACAACTCTGAACATGCTGAAGTCCAAGAAATCTCTCCACCACTTGCCCTTTGTCATTCACAAACCTGCACAATACATTTTTTATATGTTAGTATAATTGTAGAAATAATTGTAATAAAATCTATGCACAAAATAAGCTCTGACCAAAATTGCAATTGTGGAGTATTAACCTTAGAATGACTGCCATTTGCTCTTTTATTGATTCATCCCGGGACTCATCAATAAGCACTGAGAATTTTCTACTTCGAATCTCATCCATACTGACAGCTGTGACTTCCTCTGCACAAGCTTTTGCAAGATCCTTTTGTATATCTGGAGATATCATCTGGCAATTTTTAGAACCTTTTTCATATGCATCATTGACTATATTTACCTTATCTTTATACCAATCAACCATCTATCTGAACATACCCTTGTTGAGGGAAGTACAACTCTCATCGTCTCCACGAAAAGGCTGCCCTTGATATATAAGAAATCTTGCAACATCTAAAGATGATGTTAGACGAATCTCATATCGCTTTTCTTCCTCCATGCTTACCTCAACTATTCTTCGACCCACACTAGTCGTTTGGTTCATAAAATCATCACACTTTAGTCTAGCCTCTGTATGATTCTTGGAAGCATTGTGCTTCTGAAAAGTATCCTTAGCATTCTTCCAATTTATATAACCTTGATGTGCAAAGACAGAACTCCCAAATTTTCAGGCTTTCCCGAATTAAAGAAAAGATAGCAATATAAGCAAAAAGCAACATCCTTGGACTCACTATACTCTAGCCAATCAAATTCATCAAACCAAGACTTTTGAAACGTTCTCCATTGATCAACCATCCATTTAGAAGGAAATTTAAATTCATGAGGTTGGGTTGGACCACTCAAAGCATATACTCTCTTTAATTGGTCTCTAATTGCTGGATCATAAGAATCAATTGGTTTGCGTTGTGCAGGGTCAGCAATTAGGTTTGAATGACTAAACTCTTCCCTCAATTTCTTTGGTTGACTTGTGCTCTCATTAGTATGTGGAGTTGAGCCACTGCCACTGCCACTTGCACTTGAATAGCAGTTCATCAAAGTTCTTTTCGACATACTAAAAATCTAAAAAATTGAAATCTATCATAATCAAACATTCAACACACATCATGGACTGCGTACTCAATTTTACAGTTAAAAATGACCCTTAAAAAATCACCTACCTGCTCTGTTGCTTGGCTGATGCTCGCCTGCCTGCCTCCAAACTCCAGAGCTTCGCAGCGCTGCATGCTGCGGCCGACGGCGCCCGCCCGCCCACCTTGTGTAGTCGCGTCCTTGCCTGCGGCTGGCCTCCTCGGCTCCCCGCCGCTGTCCAGCAGCAGCGCGCCTGTGCCGCTGGGGCAAGGCCGGCGAGCGCCCTGGCCGCCATGCGTCCGCGCCGCTGGGCCGAGCGCCGTGGCCGCCTGCGTCCCGCCCCGCGCGAAGCCGCCAGAAGATGCAGCGACGAAGGAAGAGGAAGCCGCCGCCGCTGCTAGAATATCAAGCGAAGAGGAGTCGGGACGCGAGGGAAGGGATGCAGCGGCCGATGGTACCCCGTACCCAATAGGGTTTGTTTCACGATTGGATTTGGGCCTGTGTTGTGATGTTCTGTCTCTATGAAGGCCCAATAACTAAAAGAGCCATTTTTCCATTTCTAAAAGATTTTAGCCCTTCCTAATTCATATAATTAGGCAAAAAAATTAAGGTGGGGCTGAGGAGGGGCTCCACGTTCCCTCGAACAGTAGCCCGGGCTGAAGCCCTGGTAGCACGGGCGCTGGCTCCGTCGCTGACTGATATTATATTTGTTTTTATATTTTTGTCCGGATTCAGATTCGAATACGGATAGTGTCAATCATGGCGGATAGGATACGATTGGATATTGACATTATAAATATGCGATTTGAGTATTCGGATACGGATACGGTATCAGATGTTGAATATCCGGACTCGGATACGAACGGATTTAAACCCCTCTAAACGGATTCGGTCTCGAATACGGTCGAAAAATATTCGTACCATTTTCATCCCTAGATGGGAGAGAGTTGAAAAAAAGTACTTTATCCTAGCTTCACCTGCCACCAGTGGGCCCCAGCATGCATGCATCTCCGATTTGCCTCCAAAGAAGTGTGACTTGTGGTCGGCATGGAGAAAGGGCCGGGGCCGCTGCTGCTTGGCTGAGGCGCGAGCGCTGCCGCCGCCGGGCCAGGCGAGGGCACCAGCGCTGCAATCGTGAGGGGCGCGGGTGGCCGAGTAGCCGTGAGGTGCGCGGGCCGCCGGGGTAGGCGCACCCGCCGGGGTGGTGGCGAGCATGGCCGCAGGTGCGCGGGCTGCCAGGGCCAGCACGACCATCGTCACATGGGGAAGGATGGCTGGCCCACGACCGTGAAAGAAGAAAAAAGAGAAGAAAAAAAGGGAGAAAAAAAGAAAGGGCATTCTAGTTGTTGATTGTTTTGTTCCATCACGTGAAGCTATTTTGCCAAACAGTGTAAAAGACAGCTCAGTTCATCGAGAAAGCTACTAGTGAAGCTGTTTAAAAAACAGTGAAGCTGAGCTATGCTAATCGGGGCTGAAATTTTCCCCTATGGGACCTAATGCACTTACACAGCTCACATATAAACGACAACATGATACTTGATGAGCTTTGAACGCTCTGCCAGACACACTACCCAGCTTGCTACTCGAACAAGTGTTGATCTTGTTGCTAGCTTATGCACCATGTCGCCGGTGAGAATCGTCGATGTCAGCTACGTCGCTGTGCCGGGAAAGGCTGCGCTGACGCCGGAAGCCATAATCAAGCTCAATGCCATGGAAGCCCGGTGGCTGATTGGTCCGCAGCTGCAGCACCTCTTGCTCTTCTCGGGCGAGACCAGCTGCCGGCCTTCGACACCGCCGTCCAGTCCCTCCGGTCCTCCCTCACGGCGACCCTGGCCACCTTCGCCCCGCTCGCCGGCAAGCTCGTCCACCTCGCGGGCACTGGCGACGTCGCCATCCGCTTCTCCGCCTCCTCCGACGGCGTCAGGTTCGTGGTCGCGGAGTCCGACGCCGACGTCTGCCGACTCGCGGGCGAGGAGCACGACGTGCAGACCTTCGAGCACCTCGTTCCGGAGGTGGAGATGGGCGAGCTGCCCGCGCCGCTGCTGGCCGTGCAGGCCACGCGTCTCGGGGGAGGCGGGATGGCCCTCGGTGTCACGCTGCACCACGGCGTCGCCGACGGGCGGTCGCTGTGGAGGTTCGTGGAAGCGTGGGCGGCGGCGTGCCGGGGGGACGCGCTGCCCGAGCCGCCTCCGTCCTTCGATCGCTCCCGTGTCAGCCTGCCCGGTGGCGAGGAGCTGGCCCGTAGCGTCCTCACAAAGTACGCGCCGAACTTGCCTCTGGTAACATTTGTACTATCGCGCCGCCGTGTACCACAGGTGACGATGCCGTCGATTCTGCAAGAAGATCGACTGCGGTTCACCCGCTGAACGTTCACCATGGACGCACAGCAAATCGAACGACTGAAGCAGCACATCGCGCGTGTCGGAGAAGAGTCCCAAGGCGCGCCGCCCTTGCGTCGCCCGCCGTCCACCTTCGTGGCGGTCGTGGCGCTAGCCTGGACGTGCTACGCGCGCTGCCGGCCTTTCCCCGCGGACGAGGACGTGTTCCTCTTCTTCTTCGCCGACGTCCGCGACCGCCTGGACCCTCCCGCGGGCGCGGAGTACTTCGGCGCGTGCATCAGCCGGTGCCTCGCGAGGCTGCCGGCGCGGGAGCTCCGCGGCGCGCCCGCGCTGGCGGCCGCGGCGTCGGCGGCACAGGGTGCGGTCCGAGAGGTGGCGGAGGACCCTCTGGCCGGGTGGGAGTTTGCGAGGACCCCCACGAGGTCCCCATGGACCGGCTCATGAACGTGTCCGGGTCGCCGGGCTTCAGGGCGTACGAGGCCGCCGACTTCGGGTGGGGGAGGCCACGGCGAACGGAGAACGTGAAGATGAACCACGACGGGCAGGTGGCGCTGGTCCGCGCCAGGGACGGCGACGGGGTGCAGGTGTCGGTGTCCGTGCTCCGGCGGGCGCACATGGACGCCTTCAAGTCGGAGTTCCTCAGCCTGATGGCGTGATGGCGATGGGTTGATGATGTACAAGTACAATCTGTTCGTATACCCGTGCAATAATTGAGACCTGGTTGATGCGTGCTGTACGTGAAAGAATAGTGCACGATGATGCATGGTTCTGGACCACGTCAATGATCTCGACGTCGACGCGCGCCATGCAGAGATGTCGACCGACGTCGACGCCCTGGTCACCATGGCCACCACGATGCTCGACGACTTGAAGGCTTGCAGTTTTGGGTCCATGTCCATCGCACCCCACGACGCGTACTGGCTCGCTTTGCGTCCTGCTCCTGCCGTGCGCCTCACCCTCTATCTTCTCCATGTGGTGAATGCGCTCTCTGGGCCACACGGTACGTACTGTCCACTGTCCTGCTCATCACTCCCTGCCGTGGCCGCTCAGCCCACAACAAAGTTCCTCGGCCTATCGACCGCGTCGCCGCCGACCGTGGCCACCAACAATTACCAAAGGAGCCCGCTTATATTTAATGGTAGATGACGTCTCCTTGATCAAGCGCACGCCCAACGCAGGCGGTCATGAATATTAGCCTCACAAAAGAGTACTAAGCCACGTAGATCGAAGCAACTAAGATTTTTTTTATTCCTTAACACATACTACAATTTCTACTGAACGTGGTCCTGGCAACTGCAGGCGACTTCAGGCTGCTTTTCCATCTCGGACTGAATTGGCAAGTGCAAGCGCGCCTTTTTTTTTTTTGTCCTGCTGCCTCACTGCCCTTTCCTTCTTTTAACCCGTCGGCCTGTCACAGGAAGCGCTCGAGGAGCTCGCAGTCCTTGTAGAGGTGCTTTGACGGGGTAAGCGTGGTTGGTGCATGGGCTATCCGTGAGCTTGTCGAAGTGATCGGGCTGGCCCTGCTGGGGCTGCTTGCCCGCGTGATCGGTCGCGGTGACCAACGCGGAGTTGGCCAGTCGGCGCCGATCTTTCTTGTTCTTTTTCCCCCTCTGTGTGGACGGGCTCTCGTCTTGATCCTCGTGCTTGGCTTTGCCCTTGTCCCGGCCTCCGTTGAAGACTGCTCTGATCGCCTCCTCGCCGGAGGCGTGGTTCGTGGCGACGTCGAGCAGGTCACGGGTGGTTCGGGGCTTCAGACAGCCAAGCTTGTGAATCAAAGACTCACAAGTTGTTCCGGAAAGGAACGCGCTGATGACGTCCGCGTCGACGACATCAGGGCGGGAGTTGCATTGTTTTGAGAACCTACGGATGTAATCCTGTAGGGACTCATTGGGCTCCTGCTGGCAGCTCTTGAGGTCCTAGGAGTTCCCAGGGCGGACATACGTCCCCTGAAAATTCCCAACGAAGATCCTCTTGAGGTCCGCCCAGTCGCGGATGCTGTCGTGCGGGAGGAATTCGAGCCATGCTCGGACATGTTCCCCCACGCAGAAGGGGAGGTACTGAATGATGAAGTGGTCATCATCCACTCCTCCGGCTCGGCAGGCAAGCCGGAAGTCTTCGAGCCATATACCGGGGTTCGTCTCCCCGGTATACTTAGCGATGTTGGCAGGCGGTCGGAAGCGCTATGGGAACAACGCTCTCTGGATGCGTCGGCCAAAGGCCCGTGGTCCCAGGCCATCCGGGCTAGGACTCCGGGCGTCGGGTCGGCGACCACGCCTGGGGTGCGTCTCGCCGGTCCCCTCGATGGTCCGATCGAAGCCCATGCTGTCTGCTTTCACTACCGCCCGATGGATGTCATCGTCATGCCGGGCCTGACGCCGGTTATTGATGACACTGCGAGCGTCTCGGTTCGGCCCGAGGCGTTCGCTCATAGGCAGCTGGTGTGGAGCGGGCGCCGGGTCAAGTCATGTCGCAGCTGCAGCCTCCTGTTCCGCGCCCGACGGCTGTAGCAGTGAGCGGATGGAGCGATTCGTCTGGTGCGTCCCCACTCCCCTAGTGGGGAGAGAGGCCATGAGTCGGTGTCGTGACGGGGAGCTCTCCGCCTGTTGAACGCTGTTGAATGGCGGCGGTTTCCACCAATGCCCGGAGGTTCTGGTGGACCACCTGCTCCTAGGGGTCGACATGCTCTGGAAGGAAGCACAGAAGCATCGCCGCAGCGCGACAGCGGCGATGTTCTGGCTAGCCCGAGCGAATTGTGGGGGATCATTGCCCCACATCCATGATGTTGCGCTGGACCTGGCGGGCGCGACCCCAGGCGTCGCTCGCCAGGTTACGCGCGCGCGGCGCAGCGTGCTGCGCCGAGCACGCCGGCGCAGGTGGCGGCTGGTTCTGCCGCCTTTGTCGTAGCTCCTCGCCGTACTCATGCGCACATGCGAGGGCCTCCATATGAGGGTCCGGAGGGGTGTGGGTCTGTAGAGACTCCGCCACCACCGGTGGCTGTCCCAGAGCGTCCGCCATAGCACACTCTCGGGACCGAGGGTGGCTAGGTGCCACGACGTCGCCAATGCTGGAGCCGTCGCTCTCGACCTCATCATCCATGAGGTCGTGGAAAGAAGCAGCAGCATAGCTCGCCATCCCCACGAATTCAGATGTGAGAGGGGGCAACGCCAGCATCCTTTGGAGCCCCCGGGCGTACGCGTCCATGGGGGAGGCGAGGCCGTAGGGGAACCGGTCGTATGGCGGTCATGGCAGGGACAACGGGGTCCCTGCGGAGAGTCGGCGGAAAATATGAAAAACCAAGTAAAGAACAGTATGTACATTACTCATAGTGGGGTTTGAGCCCAGCGTGGGCTCGGAGCGAAGCACATGCGCCTCATCGGAGAGGTCACCGGGTGGCCCGGAGCCGACGGAGGGCGCTCCTCCTCCGATGGGCGCCGGGACAAGTGCCTCTTCGTGGAGGTGAAGCACGCCAAGCCGATCGGCGATGAAGCCCAGGCTTCCAAAGAGGAAGGCCTAGGATGGCTGGAAGATGGGTGGAACCCACATCCCAATAGGTGGGAGCGCGGGAAACTCCAGCGAGCCGAAGTGAGTACCATCGCTTGAGCCCGCCATGGCGAAGGTGACGGAAAGGTGGGCCATCCGATGACCAAAAGCGTGAGCGTACGGCGTCTTCCCCATGGACGGCACTAACTGTCGGTGCGAAAAGTGATAACACGTAAATATTTATAGTTTTGCCGTACGTTGTGATCGGATGTGGCCTAGCACTCAATGACATAGGGTTTATACTAGTTCAGGCAACGTGCCCTACGTCCAGATTGAGTCGGTCGATGACTTTATTCCTGAGCCCAGGTGCTCGAAGTTTGCTGTGAGGTTACAAACGAAAGGGAGTAAGATGGGGGGTATCAGAGGTGTCAACACAGAATTTTCATCCCGTGCCGAGGACACACGCAGCAAGCTAGAAAGGGTCCGCTCGATGGAGCAGATCCGTCTAGCTTCAGCGCAGGGATGGTCGATCCTGCCCGATCCTCCCGAGACGTGCCAATCAATTTGACCCTGCAATTGACAAGGAGAGAAAGTTTATCAGTAATTAAGGGCAGAACTTGTCAGTGTTGCTAGACAGTCCCGAATGTGCGGCTATGAGAGCCGATATGAAAGGAGATCGACTAAATAGTCGATTCCAGCATATTCATGAGAATAAGTTAGTTAAAGCTCATGGGGTTATGTAAGAAGAATCGGTTATCATTCAGGATAAATATCATTTATCGAACAGATATTAATCAATGGCAATAAGATATCAACAATGATCGGTTTGTGTTGAGCCAATGATTATAAGTAACCGAACCCCTTTTTATATAAAGAGACAATTCAACACCACTTAACCGTTTAATAAAGATAAATCTAATGAACAGGTTAGATCTCATCTATCATCATGACAAGTGGGGCATGAGGCAGAATCATGCAGGCCGTAGAAATAACAATAGACTCGATGACCCTAACTCATAACTAATATCAATGGGGCATGAGGCAGAATCATAAAGGCCGTAATACAATAATAAGATCATGGGACTAACATATCTTTCAACATATCTTTACTTCAACGGTCTCGTGATGCGAACTATTCGTGAAAGCGCTCGATATCGGGTAAAACAACCGATTCAGGCATAACGCACAGTTAAAGTCATGCCCTACCAAGAATAGATCTACTAAATAATGATCCCCACTCCACGGTGCTAACAGTGGGGTGTGAGGCAGAATCACACAGGCCATGATAATGGGCCGTGGAATGGTTCTCGCTAGCTAATAGATCTACTCAAGACGCAACATGCCTTAACCGCACGTTATGCACGATTAAGATTGATGTAAAACAGCCGATAAAACATAACTCATCGTTTAAGGTGTAGACTAGATCAGTTTTAGGTTAGCAAACGATGGGTCAAATAAGATATAAGGCCGATCTAAATCAATCTCAATCGGGCAGAGTGATATTGCTGTAATTAGATAAATAATAAAAGCAATAAGCAATATCGGTAACTTAATGAATCTACCAAAGACTACCATTCTAAGGTAGAGCCGATAACTTGACCTAGATTTAATTCAAGCAGTGGGGTGTGAGGCAGAATCACACAGGCCATACTTGAATTAAACAAGAGTCGATAACTAGCTTATACCAAAGCCGCAGTGGGGGTCGACCGGATCGATGCAGCCATACGAACAGAGGTGTCGGTGTTTTGGACCGGCGGGTCCTCAACCAACGAGTGAAAACGTACTACGTGTCCCTATCCCGGATGGTGATGCAAAGAGACACAAGGTGTGGGGGTATTAACCCCTATACCCTTACGGCTAAGCTTGGGTTGGCCTGGATCGATAGGTTCAGTCCACCTGAAAGATGACGTGCGGCCCAGTTAACCTGATCGGAGTCCCGCACAAGGAATCAAGACGGATTTGGCGACCAAGCAGGATCCTGGTCGATTAGAATAGGAATCCTTATCCGGCCACATATGGCAATTGTAACCGACTAGGATTAGTTTCCAGATCTGTAACCCTGCCCCCCGGACTATATAAGGCGGGCAGGGGACCCCTCTAAAAATCATCTCTCATTGACATACAGCAATACAAATCAGACGCAGGACGTAGGTATTACGCCTTCTTGGCGGCCGAA